TTTGTTCTTTTGTAGGAAGAACTCCAGCTTACACTATGCAGAGCTCCTTATCATGAGAACCTATTTTTGGATCGGGTAATGATTTTCACAATCTTAACGTTCTTCTATATTGGTTTTGACACCTAGTTTTCCAAGTCATGATTTCAATTAAATGTTATCCAAAGATGCATCTAATACCTTGTGGAAACAATATTCCTTCAATGCATATGGTGTGCCTCCATGTAGAAATTTATTTTTTCTTTCATCTAGATGTAAAAGTTTGTCATAGTTTCTCACCCTTTACTTAGAGTTGGAAAGAAATAGTTACTGTACAGACAAGATTCATAGCATTTTCCACGTTCACTTTCGCCATTAGTTAATAGGCATGATTTTTCTTAGAAAACTTGATTCAACAAATTGTAAATGCTATCAATCTTGTCTCTCTTTTCAAACTTACCTAGATTTGTCTATAGTGAAGTGGTATTTAGAAGTTCCCGAATGAATCTGATCACACATCTTCATTATACTAATATTATTTGTTTCTTGTTGAAGGTGTCCAGATGTAAATTATCTATTTATAGTGTGGATCGTGGGTACCATTCAGTTGAAATGTAACTGTAAGTACAAAGTAAATAATGGTTTCATTTGCAATAGCAAAACTTTCCTTTCGCTTATGTCAAGCTAGCTGTCATCCTTCCCTTAGGTCTTAAGTAGTTTTTTTTTTCTTTAACTAGTTGGTAATTGAGGATTGAAGCAAGGAATACTTCACTCTCCTGCTGAACTATTTTAATGCTTAATGCTGGTGGAGCAACCAAAGTAAGTGATCTTCAAAAACTTGAAAATTATATTCATACCCGTTTTGATTATAAAACATGTATCATAAAAATCTTATTTTTGTTGTAGAATCTTCTATTTTAAGATGTCAAATTTTAGAATTAGGAAACTAAGAGCCCAATTTTTCTAAAGTGTATAATGATTTGCCTCTCAGATTCATGTAGTTGCTAAGAAGAAACGCGAGTTTAGAGACTCTGCAGCCAATGATTCAACTTTAAGAATTTCGAACATACCAATTGCTGCTTTCTATTCTCGTGCTCATCTTGAAGAAAATGCTCTAGCAACAGTTGAGTGTTAATTCTATATGTCAACTTTTACATATAACCCCAGAACTTCAATCTCATTTTTAGTAAAAATTATCTAAATGCATTTTGTATAAATGATTATAGTCGATATTATATGGATATTTTTTTGTGACTTAACAATATCTTTTTCAGCAAAGCCGCATAGGAATCCCAATATTTTCAATCTCTAACTTCTTAGCGATTGGATATGTTGTTTTTAGGAGTTGTTAGTTAGATTATATGATTAAAAATGACACAAAAACAACAATCAAAGTTCTTATCATTAGAAGTTTAAACTAATGTAATTAATTTCCTAACACA